AATTTAAATTAGTTGAAATTTAAATTTAGATAGCCTTGTGTAGCTTCTGTCCACCCTAAGTAGATATAGACAACATGTACTAAGCATCAGTACTGAATGTATAGAGCTGGGAGAAATATGGAATGGTTACAATTTAAAATAGGATGGTAAGGTGTACCTCACTGAGGAAGTAATAGAAAGTCCACTGCTGTATTCAATCATGTTGAAAGCCATACACCCAGCCATGATGAGCTACTGGAAACAACATGACATATGCATAATCGCAAATGTCCATCTGTTTTTACAAAACTAAATTATTTTATTATTACCTGATGCTAGAATTTTTCCTTAGGTTTATTGCTATTGCATATATTATATCACCTGGAACAGTTCAACAATTTATGACTTCATCCAAATATTTTTTGACAAGCTTTTCAAGAAAATATTATCCACTTGCTTTCTATATGTCTTAACCACCACTTATTTTCTAATTCTCTTTCCTCTTTTTAAATCTTCTTACAATTTGACTGAAACTAGATTTCCAGGTTCTAAGGATCCTCCAGTGGTCAAATGCAGGGCCTATTTCAGCATCTTTTAAAAAATATCACATAAGCCCCCACCCGAATTCCCTTGATTTTTACACTTTCCTATTTTCAATGTCATTTTTTTCTTTTGCCTTACCTATTTTGTTAGTTCCAAACAGGATACACTGTTTTCAATCTCCTCTGATGCTGTGTGCTTATTGTTATAAATGTTATTTAACATTTATAATGAAATAGCCTTGGGTATAATATTTTCCAAATCAAAATTTTTCAGTAAATCCCTGCTAAATCCTTATTTCAAGAGACGATTTTCTCATCACTGTGGTACCTCAGGTCTTTTTAGATACAGCCTCCACCTTTCTTTACAACCTAATAACCAGATGTTCTGCATATTTAACCATATTTATGAACCAAATTTTAACTCTTTACAACTCAATTATTTGGGCTTTTAAAAGAAGGTTTGTTGTAATTATATCCTCCATTGCCTAGTGAAGAACAATTTTCATTAATTTAAGTGCCCCTTGAAATTATTTATATATTCATTTTGGATATCCTATAGGAACATTTATTTTTTCTAAGAAGTATATCAAAAATACAGAAGTTCAGAGAATAATAAAATTTGACCAATGACCAGCTTCATTAAATCCTAAGATTTTGACAAAAATGATTGAGATCACTTGTAAAAGAAATAAAATATTAGCTGTACACAAGGTACCCTTCATTATCCCTCTACAAACTATTCCCCTTGCTCCCCAATGAGAGCTGCCATCTTGAATTTGATGATTGTTTTTAAGGGTCACACATTCTTCTATATTTACCACATACATTCCACATTTATCTTAAAGCACCTATTATTAACCCTATCGTTTTTGTTTCTGGAGAAATCTATATAGAATAACCTCACTTTTACATCTTATATTGTTGGCAATTCTGAAGCCTAAAATTTAATTCATATATAATTACTTTGAGATATGTCAAAGTAGATGTTTCTGTTAAAAGTTGCTTATTATTTAATAGTTAAATTTTTAAATATCTGTACAATTAGATTGAAACTACATTTCCAGGTTTTAAATATCCTGCAGTAGTCAAACAAAGGACCTGTTTCAGAATCTTAAAAAATATTACATACCCCCCATCCTAATTCCCTTGATTTCTATACTTTCTTAGTCTCAGTGTCATTTTTTTCTTTTGCCTTAACTATTTTAACATCTCCAAACAGAATACACTGTTTGGAAATAGTGCTTTCTTTAAATGCATTTTCTTGTTTGGCTTAGCTTTCTGTTTCTTCACTAAAAAACTAATCTGTAGACTTTTAGCCTCTTTCTATTAGTGGACAGTTTGGCTCCACCTTCACAGATTGCAGAGCCCTTTTATTTTGAGTAATGATCACTATTCATGGCCAGTTTTAATGTTGACATGCTATTTATGGAAACGATATATTTCTATATAAACTATGATGACAAATTATTTTATTCAAATATAAAGCACCTAATATGGGGCCAGTATTGTACATGCTCTGGTGGTACAATGCTGAACAGAAATGACATGGCCCCTGTCCCTTAGCAAATTTGTATCTGTGTAGGGGAAACAGATGAAACACTGAACAAAGACAAGTAGAAAGTATTTGGACATGAAAAAAATGGTAAATTCTGAAAGATCCTGAAAAAAATCACAGTATCAGAGAGAAATGAGAAAAGAGGATTTATATTACATAGGCATGAAAGTAAATCCCTGCTATGAAGAGAGAACATTTAAATTGAGTCTTAAAGGCAGAGAAGCAATTAACTAAGACTGGAAGAGAAGCTGTAATTGCCAGTGTGAAAAGTTGGAGTCAACACAGTGCGTAGTGCTACCCTAAGAGGGGATCAGGACTTCAAAAGATAACTGTTGGTGCCTAAACTAGGAGACTGAGGCTACCACCTCCAAAATGTTAGTTCATTTGTTTATTCTGTGACATGCATCTGCCACATGGATCAGGCTATTTTGACATTATTAATAACAATTTAACCCTATTCTAAATCCACATGGGAAAACAAAATATAACCAAAGGATACAATGACTAACTGACAAATCAGTATTACAAGATCTGAAAATAATGTATATTCATAAACTCTTTCCTCCCTTTCTTTTCTCTTATGGAAAAAGTCAAAGCATAATCAAAGATTGCACTTCAAATATAGCACTCTGGAAGGTTGTATTAGATATAGCAAATATTTGAAATCACAACTGAAATATTTCACTAATGCATTTCGTGCATCCATCCATATAGAAACCCTCAGTATCTCATTACTCAGAATCCCTTTGCTAATTGGAGATTCATAGTCAGTATTTGGCTTGCTCATTTTCCTTTTTTCTGACTTCCTATGGTAGGAGAATATCCCTTGCAATGCATTCATTCTCTAGATATGTCTATGAAGATAATAAACCATGTAATAATTTCTTTTTAGGTAACTTTTCATATCTGTGTTCTGCTTCATTAGATATTGCTTTTACTGCTTAGAGCTTTCAGGTAATTTTGTTTTTCTCTCTTGATACTCTCAGCTGACACCTCTGTGTGGTCACTGGGTAATGATAATACTCTCCCTTGCCTTTTTCTTGCCTTCTGGCATATAGTACTTTCTCCATAGCCCTGCCATGAATATATTCATACATTTTGGGGTCATTTTTCTGCTCTATTCTTACTACTCCAGACTAAGAAGAATCACTTGTCTATATTTAGGTAAAATCTACCTTAACAGTTTAATTTCTCTTCTCTGGAACATTTTAAACCAGCATTGATCATGGCTAAAATTTCATTCAGTTTCCTACAGAATAAATGTGATAGCATGATTGATTTGCTATGAATAAGAGAAAAAACAAACAAACAACTATGTCCTATTTTCATGGTTTATTTTTAATAGCATATATAATTCAGGTCCAGCACCAGCTACATGATTTGTGTGTCTCAGTCCGAGATGAAAATGAAAATTTTTATTCAAAAATTAATTAAGAATTTTAAGAGAGTGAAATTTAAGCATGGGTGGGGATCAGAGGAGCTTTTCTGAGCACAGGGTGTTGTGTAACTGCACAAATGACCTGCCCAACAGCTGACCCTGTGCAGGTCTTTGGGGCAGGTGGCAGTCAAGAATAACTTTGTAAATACATTCATGTTTCAAATGAGTTTTATAATAAAATTTCATGAATATGATTTTTGGAGTTAATAGCACATGTGATAATAAAGTTGACTACTTTTTTTGGAACTCTATAACTGTATTTGGCATTGAGTATTGTGGAAATATGTGATTAAAGAAAAAACTCTTATTTTTAAGTTTATTGTTGATTGTGACTTGCTTGGTTTACTCTGATGGTGCAAGAGCCAGATTGCTTGGGTTCTAAATCCTGACACTCCACTCTAGTGCGGGTCATTGCGTGCATTTCTTTGCCTTTACGTGTGGTGATATATGGAATGACAACAAAGAATTTATTTTATATATTTATCGTGCAAGTTATTATAAGTCTTTAAGAGTTTAAGCAAAGTCTTCTGTTATTTCCAAATTCTTTTAAGTTTTCATTTTTGCCTTCTTGGATGTAGCATTCCAAACTTGGTTTACTCTCTTTCACTTTTGGGATTACAATCCAATATAATATTAGAAATGTTTCATGATATTGTTTGTATAGAATTAAAAATTTGACAGTAATATTTAGTTTATAATGAATGAAATAAGCCATTCATTTATTTTTTCTTATAAGAACATTGAAAGGATTTTTCTTTGAACTTTTCCCCATCGCTATTTAGCTTATTGAAAATAAAAGTTCTAAATAACCTAGTTGATAGTGCAATCCATTTAATTGTTAAGCTAATAAGTTATATAACTTTAGAATCTAATTTAATTCAATCTTAGCATTTCAGGAATTATTAAATTAAGCTTATTATTAAATTAAAGGCAAGCTTGTTTGGAATTAATCCATTGTGATTGATGTATGTTATTTGCTTTTATTTTTGTGTCACTGAAAAATAAATCATTTTATATTAATTGAACTGTTTATAATTATTAACCAGCTATTTATGCTTTATTGAGAAGATACACTAATTTGCGATCTACAGTCTCCACCATCTTGAAAAACTATGTGAGAAACATTTGTTTAAAAATCAAATTTAGGACTATTTTAAGTGGTAACCATACTCTGTTTTTAGTACAGATAATAGATTTATTGTAAACTAGTTCATTTAAGATGGATTTCAAAACACTCAACTCTGAGCATTATACTTTAAACAGAATGTTTCTAATCAGGTGTGGTTTCCGTCTTTTTGCATTTAGAATTGTGAGAACCTAGGAAATAATTGATCAGTACAGCTATTCTTATTGGTTGTGGAAACTGAAAAGAAACCAAAAAACTATATTCCTAAATATCATTTTCTAGCTTGCTGTGTACTTGATCCTTTCTTTCTTGTGACACTCATTATAATATCTGCATTCAATTTCTTTTTTCTTCTATTAGACAGTATTACTGAAGTCTTCACCAACATCTATGTGACCAGCTTTGGCCCTGTTTCAGATACAGATATGGTGAGTTTTTCATTAAATAGTATTTTTACTTTATATAACGGGGAGAGGAATAAACAAGTATTTTTAGCATTAGAGAGTTATGTAATTGTCTCATGCCTCTAGTCTAACCAAATATATGGAAAGTTGTGGATATTAATCTGTATCTGTGGTGTACTTTTCCAGTTTGGGTGTTGAGACTAGCCCTTTATCTTTCATATTCTTTTCTAATTTTTTTTTTATATCTAACTACAGTGTGGTAAACAATTGTTAAAAAATAATTATATTACTAAGAACCATTTTCTAGAATTCAGTCATATGCTTGAACTTCTATAAGGGAAGTCTATGCAGTTTCAACTGCTTCTTTATGAATGAAAATTTTCTCTTGGCATTGAGGAAGGTGGGTACCTTTTCATTACTATCTACATGCAAACAATGCTAACATTCTGAATGGTTTATGTATAAATCATTCTAAGAAAAATGGAATTATGAGCAATATTTACAGGGTCCTCTTGTATCAAAATGAAGGGAAAAGGAAGGCAGATTTGAAGTTCACAGACAAATGCTCCAAAAATTGGTATACATAATAATAGGTGACATGGGGAGGGGTTTCTATTACGACAATAAGAAAGGTGAAGCTGGGGAAAATAAAAGTTGAATAACCAACATTCCAGCATACCACAAACATATACAAACGTACAAAACTACTAGGGAAGATATATTTTAAAATATATATACATTTTGCAAAGAGATACGATTTGGTCTTCCTGATGATCAAGTGGAGTGATTTGCAATCTTGATGATATTGCTTTGCTGGAAATCAAGATCAATAAAGAGGGAAAGTTTGAATTTATATTAGTACTGTATAGATGGCCAGGTTGAGAAAATACCTTTGACTAACACTCTAAATAGGAAGAAATTTATTATAATGCGGAGAGAAAATACACATATATTATTATCACCCACACATCAGATGCATATAAAGTTAGCTAATTCATGTCTTACAGAAGTAATTTGTTAACCAGGAAGTAGGTAAAGAATAAAGTTAATTACATTTTTAGTAACTTAGCTGATATACTTCTTCCTATGCAATGCACTTGCTCAGTAACAAGACCTAAATCCCTAAGTCCTCCTGCTCAAGTCATTGATGTAGATTTATCTTGACATTAGCTTGCAAGGAAAAGGCGGCATAGCAAAAAGAATTAAGAACCAAAAGTACAAACAGACACACACAGAGCATATGCACACATACACAAGCTGCTGTCTCAGAATCATTAGACAGTATTATCGTTCAAAGAAAGTTGCAGATCTAAATTATAATTAAAGATTCTAATTACAATTTCTAGAATTAAGTTAAAATCTTTTATTTCAACATTTAAAAAATTCATGAGTAAGAATATAATTAAACTTTTGAATGTATCGTAGCTGACAAGTGACAAAAGTAGGCATGTGCATTTCAGTAAATTTTAACTTAGTCCTTTTTTCTTTTCTTCTTGGTTTCTATATAGGATGTCCTTTCCCGTATTAGTAAACAGTTTCATTGTGTATGCATATCCTCCAGTCATAAGTGATATATAGCTATAAATGCTACACTTAAACCTAGACTAAGAACTTCATTTTAAATTGTTACCTTTTGCAGTGCTAAATGTTAGAATGAGGACTTGAACAATGGAATTTTTTCATTTTTCTCAAGATTTTTTATCCAGAAATGATTATTACACTATACAGAAGAAGGAAGTTAGTGAGTCGTGATAAATATGATCAAAAATTGATCACATTTACCTTCTTGGTTAGTACTTTTCTTACGTCTGTGAACACACAGACTGCATTCTCTCTTAGATTTTCCATAATTTATTGAAATATTACATATTTCAGTTAGGGATGTTTAAAGAGTCCTTAATTTTCTTTATTTGATTAAAAATCATAGACTTACCATTAATCCTTATGAGATGTTGGCATTTGTAAATATAGCTTATAATGAAATCTGCTACAAACGTGGCAAATACTAACATTAAAAGTAACAACTATGGGCATCTTTCAGAATGAAGAGAGATTTCTTTTTCTGAGTTAGAATGCGCTCTGATCCTTAACAGCAAAAGTCAAAGGCCTCTTCCTTTGATCAGATTCAATGAGGGGCAATAGTAAGATATGTGTATTACTTGCAGCCTCTGTCAAGATCGAATTCCATACATTGTAGGTGGTGTAATTCAGGATTAACCTGTAGGTTTTATCCACAGTAAAACCTTACCTAGAGTGTAGAGTAACATTTCCAGAAAAGAGAACAGATAAAGGTAGTTTAACTCTTATCACCCTTACTGTGGAGAGGAGAGTTGTAAAAACTTAGTATTATTTCTTGTCATAGCTCTCTTGCTTCCCAGAGAGATATGTACATTCCCTGCTACCCCCCATTCTTTCCTATAAGCAAAATAACAAACAACTATAATTTCTGGACATGAAGTGATCTTTAAAATAAAAATTGCAGAGCTTACATGGGGAAACCACCTTGCAAGGATAGAAACTGTCTTTTGGGGAAAGCCATAAAGAATTTGTCTGCTTTGATTAAGAGTAGTAGGAATTATCCACTGGTGTTACCCCCGTACATTTGCACATAGGTTGTTGGCTTATACAGGTCTCAGATCCCATGATGAGGATTTTCCCAAGGGTTTCACACAGTACTGGGATAATGCAATTTTCATGCCAGTGCAGGAAAACATTGAAAATGTAAGGAGATAACAACATTAGGATACATTATGGCAAAGCCAAGAAAAGGATTTAAATGTGTCATTAGATAAAGAACAAGGAGATATTTGCTGATCATGGTAAAAGCAGACAGATTGCAGTGGGTTGAAGCATGTGGGAGGTGCGGAAATGGAGAAAGAGTAGAGGCAACATTTTTAAGCAGCATGGTTAAAGAGAGGAGGCGAGACAGAGGGCAGAAGCTCTAAGGCTTTATAACTATCAGTGAGACTTTTATTTTTAAAGATTGCATTGAACTTCTCACTGTTCTCAAACATGCCATTATCTTTAACAACTCGCTGGCCTTGCAAATGTTTTTCTCTGTTCTTGTTATGCTTTCGTCCTTCCTTGCCAACTAGAGATATTTTATTTATTCAAGACCAAGCTCAAATTTCATCTCTTCTGATGTCTTTCTGGGCTACTCCAAGTAGAGTCAGCAACTCTTGTCCTTGTGTTCCACCAGATGGTGTTCACACATTTTTATGACTTTGCACACTGGATTTTAAAAACCTTTACATGTCTTTCTTCTTTACCGCAGTCTGAACTACTAGATGGCATGAGTTGTGTTTGTCCATTTCAACAAGATTTACTAAGTACCTACACTGTGTCTGTCATAGTGTTGGGAGCTGAAATATTGATGTATAGCCAGAGCTTGTCTTCAAATAATTTACAATGTACTAGGAGGGAGTTAAGAGAAATCATCAATTTTTAAAAGTGTGATTATTCTTTTATCAAGTATTGATCAATTAATATGGTAGCAGAGGGTCTGTGAGTAAAGGATCCTTTTATCTGAGAATGTTTCTAGGAAAGGAAGATTACTGAGGAGGACAAATAAGAATTGGCCAGCTAGACAAGTAACAGTGTTTTAGCACAAATTGGTAAAATGTATTGAGTTTAATAAGATATAAAATTCAGTAGCAATGGATCCTAGAACACTCTTAAGATGTTTGGGGGGGACATGAAGCTAGAGAAGAACTCGAAAGAATTCATGGTCTTCAGCAATTCCACTCCTAGGGATCTACCCAGAGGACACAAAGACATTGATTCAAAAGAATACCGGTACCCCTATGTTTATTGCAGCACTATTTACAATAGGTAAAACCTGGAAACTACCCAAATGCCCTAAAATAGATGACTGGTATAGATGTGGTATAGATACACAATGGAATACTATTTAGCAGTCAAAAAGATAAACTCATGCCATTTGCACCAACATGGATGGAGCTAGAAGGAATTATGCTCAGTGAAATAAGTTAGAAGGAAAAGAAAAATATCAGATGATTTCACTTATAGGAGGAATATAGGGAAATAAGACATTGGGGAAAAATAATAACTATATAAAATACAACACAACAGAACAAAAACAAACACAATTATAAACCAGAGACATCTTGCAGGGGAGGGGAAGGGAAATGGATTGGAAGGAGGGAGGGAGGAGCACAGGGGACTGTGGTGATGGTACATGAGTGATTTTGTGGTGGAAAGTCTATGGGGTCTACACCTGAGAAAAGAAAAAAAAAAAACATTGTTTAAAAATGAACAATGATCTAAAATAAATAAATAAATAAATAGAATTCAAGGGTCTTATAACCAGTTGCCACCACCACCCCCACCAAACCATAAAACTTCCCTATCTGAAATTTTAAAATGCAATAGACCTTTGTTGCTGGAAAAGGTATTATTGCATGACTTTTTAATGTGTTGTTATATAAAATGTAACTATTATACAGAATAAAGGCCTACCATGATGAGTTTAATATAACTATCCTGACACACACATACAAGCAGACATTTCACACCTGTGAATATAAAGATCAGGTATGCACACAGGTGATTGTTTGCCATAAGGTATCCGAGATTATCTGCCTCTGCTGATGCTTTTCTTCTTTGTACCTTTAGCATAGTTGTTGCCAGTATCTTGTTACTACTTTTAAGTAACAATGTCAGGTTTTCTTTTTCGTTACTGACTAGTTTTTTGTGTCCTATATTCCAGGCAGCTTGTTAGACTCTAGTGATACAGTGCTGAAGAAGATGGTTCTACTCCAGTTCTCAGTGTAGAGTAAAAGTTGGCCAAATATAGGGGCTGGTAAGAAAGAGACACTGCCATAGAGATTAGTGAGTTTGGGAAGTAAGATGGAACACGGTCCATCAGAGGCCCTGCAGTCTCTAGACTGCTCCAAGAAGTGTGTGTGTGTGTATGTGTGTGTGTGTGTGTGTGTGTGTGTAGGATTGCTGAATAGGGTGACAGACAGTGAGGGAGGAGAGATCATGTAGATTGCGGAGACTAT